GAACTGATGTAGCTCTATTTATAATTATTCACAAAAATGCCACCGCTTATTCAATACTACATCGGTCCCACTAAAAACGATGTTGAACACTCAATATTTACATCGGTCCCAACCATAACCGATGTAAACATGTTTTATATTATATACTTATTTACAAAAATGCTACCACATTTGATTTGTACATCGGTTTTACCTAAACCGATGTAGAATTGATGATGTTAAATAATAACTTTCTAGTAGTGCATGCTTCTTCATTTTCTTGATATAGGGTTTCCATAACAGTTAGGACTTCTTGCAAAATAGTGCAATCGATGATAGGCCCAATATATACCTCCTACCCCACTAGTGCCCCTACCATTGGCACCATCGAGGTTATCATTACTGACTCCTCTCACATTGCACCTTGGTGACCTTGTTACTATGAGCTTTCGCTCATGCCAATCAATCAAGGTGTGGGGTACAATTTTACATGTGCCCCACGGTAGGTACCAAAATGTTCCAGTATAAAGGATAACCACTGAAAGCTCTAGTTATCGTCTGGGTCCAAAACATTCAATGAGTATCAAAACTATCTTTCATATACCTAATTGTTTCTATTTTTATCAACATAATGCTACAAATACAATCTCATGCTTCTTGTTACAATCTCGCGAATTACACCATATCTTTATTATCATTAATAAACTCATAAATCTTGTTATTTATATATAGTCATTATCTTACCCATTTCAAGAATCATGGGATGTCATTATTGGTCACTTGAATGGGTAAATGTGTGTCTAAGAGTCCTCTTGGTCGTTAGGAGACCACCATAGTACATAGTTCATAGCTAGGGATGTCAACAAGGCGAGATGGGTATGGGTAGTAGCCCCCCACTAGTCTCCTTATCGGACAAATATCCACCATGTACTCGTTCCTATATCCGTGCAGATATTTGTTGAGTAAGTATCCACAAATTTTTTCAATATCCACGAATATCCATGGGTACTCGCGAGTACTTACTAAAATAATATCTTAAAAATATTTGACAAAATATTTTAACCATACATTTTAGTTATTTGTAACAGTTTCTTTTAAAAGTTATAAAAATCTGGATGAAAAAAGTTTGAAGATTATAAAATTCAAATTCAAATATTCTACACAATTATACTAATAACAATAAGTGAATTTAAAAATTGAATATTAAACATTCAATCATACAAGCTTAAAGTTCAAACAATAATTATTAAAATAAAATATTTTGATTACAAATGAATCAAAATGAAAGATAATAAAATACACCACTTAGTTATTATAAGTCCAAATAAAATCAAATCCATACAAGTTCAAATAAAATCAAATTCATACAAGTCCAACTAAATTGAATATTAGCAGGTACGAGTATCTATAGGTACGGATATTATGATATCCATACCCTCCCCATTAATACGTGAGTATAAAAATTATTGATGTTTGTTATCCACAAGTATTTATTTATAATATCTATTATCTACTCGTTGCGGATTTTATCCGTACATACATGTGGGTACATATTTTTTTGACATCCTTATCCTCAACATTCATCTAGGAGACCTCTAGGTCGATGGGAGACCATCACAGTACATAATCCTTGACATTCGTTTGGAAGACCTCTCAATCGATGGAAAATCATCATGGTACATATATAATTCTCGACATTCGTTTGAGAGATCTCTCGGTGGGTGGAAGACCACCATGGTACAGAGTCCTCGAAATTCAATTAGGAGACCCCTTAGTTGATAGGAGACTATCACAGCACATAGTTATTGACATTCACCTGAGATACCTCTTGATCAATGAGAAACCATTAATATGAAGATAAAGTAAACGTGTTATGTGTTTAGAAAATATTATTCAAAAAAAAATGTATAGAAAATATTGATTACATGTTAAACAGATTAGCCTACAAGAATGACTAATTAAACTCTTGGATGTCTCACGTGATTACGGGGGCATATTAGCCAAACCAAAGTAAGAGTCCAAGTAATCAAATTAAGGCTACATTATTGACCACGTGTCTTAAGAAATACTAGTAATTAATTTGAAGCTAGGTAGTTGAGAGAGTTTCCAAATGTTGAGTTTGAACTTATACTATTTTTGTGTAAGACGAGGGTTATGAAATAATTTATTTAAAGTTGAGTAGTTGAGAGACTGTGGAAATGTTTATGAATTTGAAGTTTGAACTTATATGTGCGTTCGTGTGGAGATGTCGCTTCAGTAGAATGTCAATGGAGTGGTACTTCAGCGATGTTTTTATTTTTTCAAGTCATTTATTAAGGAGATATAACTTTTTTTTTTTCAACAAGTTAATTTTTATAAAAATAAGGTGATAATTTTAACTGCGACTACATATAAAGAAATAAAAAATTAAACTTGATTCTTGATTAATGACTTAAGTATCGAATTATTTAAACTAAACATTTTGTACTTTAGTGACATGTTTAATGTAGACTATAAGATTTAGTTATAATAAATGCATAATTATATTGGTTGACTTGTTCAGATTTGGCTTAAATTTGGATTTCATATTTTTATTTGTTGAGATTATTTTTCTTGTGTTTATTTAATGGGTTGCATAACATAATCATTTGGTGCTTCAGATCATTCGACATATATAGTAATCATGTATCATTTGACATAATATAAATCTTTATAAAGGTTTTTTTTTTAACTCATTTAATTCATGGGCCTATGTAAACCAGATTAGCTCATACATTTAATTTTAACTCCAATCATAAGTGTAAGTTAGAAGGGGCAAGTAGGGACCTTCTAAAGGACTCACAATAGTTAACAATGGACAATAATGCTACTGTATTACAACTGTGTGTTTAAGAGAAAAGAGAGACTCAAGGTGAATACACATTTTAGAAAATTAAGTTTGGTAAAAATGTTTTATAAATGCAATTGTAATGCCTTTGCTCATTCTTGCAATGATTGTCAACTTGTTAGCAAGTCAAAAGTTGGTTTAAACTAATTATTTGTTGACTTCACTTAGTTATGCAAACCAACATTTAATAGGCTAAGATATGGATCCAAAACTGTATACTGTATGGATTAAGTTGTTTTAAAAATAACTTTTGATTAAGTTATTTTATTCAATAATTATTTATATATTAAATTATTTTTAATTAATTGACAGTATAAAATTTTTATACATTAAAAATAAACTCACAAATAAATAATAAAACCAAAAAAATAATGATCAAATTACATCAGGAATTTCAATTGAAGGCATTGCTTAAAGAAAAAAAGAAAAAAAGAAGAAAAAAAGTTTCTTCCTTCCATTAAGGCCTTGTTTTTTTACGCCGTACTTATATGATTTGAATTGTTGTTCAGCTCAACCGATTTGAAAATCATATTATTTCTTGAAGTCAAAAGATGAGAAAAGCAATGCTTGGACATTCAAATTAATCAACCTTAATAAAAGGCAATTATATGATAAGAATTAAAATAAACTAAGAAAATCAAGAAATACAATGAAAAGGACTGTCCAGCTGTGCCCACCAAAATTTGTGGTAAAGCATGACGGCTTATAAGAAATAAACAAATAAAAAGTAATAATTGGTGGATACATTTTTACTATAAGCATACCATTAATATTACACTTTTCTTCTTCTTATTTTTTGTTTATCATATGACCCATCAATCATACTTACAGTTTTTTTCCTCTCCCTTTCATTCATTAGGTGTTACTTAGAATAGTAGATATATTTTTTTAGAAAGAGAAAGCACCACTAAAGAGGGGAAAAGAAAATACTACAGTGGATGAAGGAAACACAAACCAGGATGATCAGCTAGTAAAGGATGTAATTGAATGCCTTACGAAAATAGATTATTTAGTGTTCGACTATTTTAAAGTCAACTTTAGCCTATTATAGTTATGTTAACGAAATCGTGGCTTATCACCTCATTTTTATTAATTAAAATGATTTCGCATAATTTTTTAATTATGACTTTTTATAATCAGTTTATTGTACAAAATATTCAATATTAAATTTTTTGATGATTAATCTTTTAATTTAGTGAATTTTTATTTTTTCTTTAAATTATATTTTTTATTTATAATAAGAATCGAGAAAATGAATGATATATTGATATTATAAAGTAGATTTATATTAGCATTCAATCATAAATCATCATTTATAGTATATTGTTGAATTTTATTGTAACTAAGTAATAAGTCATATGAATGATGATATATAGTTGATTAATAGTGTAAAATTACTCTACAATTTTGTAATTTTTTAATGATCAAATGAAAATTACTAATCAAATTAAAAAATTTATTTTTTCTTAATTGGAATTTAACAAAATAGGCAAAATATTAAAGGGTAGCTAATCTTCCTAAACTAATTTAATTTATTTAAAGAAAAATATTTATAGTAGTTTCACTTTCACAAATCATTTCCATACCCGTGTACTTTATTTACTTTATTTATCTTAAGGTTGGTTCAATAGAAAAACTAACAAAATCCTTGTTTTAGACCTCCTTTAAAAAATATATTTTATATTAATATTTATATAATTTTTAAAAATTTTATAACTTCAAAATTATTTTTTACATTCTTAAAAATTCACTTTAAAAGTTTATCTCTAAAATATATATAAATATAATTATTTTTTTCAAAATCCATCTCTAAAATATTTTTATTTTTTTATAAAAGATATTATTATTAACTTTAAAAAATTCTTACTTTAAAATTTACATCACGTGATTTCTCTTTATATGTTTTATTGTATAAGACATTACACATATTATTTATTTATTTATTTTTGTCTTTTCTCGTTGTCTCTCTCTAATCAAAGGATGTTTAGACACCCTTTTTCATTTTCAAAACATTATTTTTACCCTAAAGAAAAACGTTACATTGTCATGACAGATGTATATAATAAAGTAAACCACGGCCACGAACGACTGACATATTCTCTGTGTCTCTAACATTGATTAGTCTTCTATCAAGCCAATATCCAACATAGTAAAATTGAATATGCGAAAATGAATCTACATTCAAGAGAAACCAAAAGTAATTAGGACAGGAGAGGCAATTTTCAAAGAGAGTTGAGTATCAATTATTAGCATTATTTTCTATGATCAATCTTTGTTTCTTGGTAACAAAGAGACATGATCCAATTGATTTGGAATTTGATGAGAATATTATTGACTTGAGGACAGAATCTACAGTTGGCATTATTTTCTCCGCGGCCTAGTGACAAAAGAATTTTCTCCGGAATCAATTGAATAAATTGAAGTAAAAAAGAGTATGAACACTTGAACAAAACTTGGTAAATCCTCGTGGTTGCTATACAGGGTGACGAATTTGTGATCCTAATCCTAAACTAACGAGCAAGGTTGGCGGAACTCCAAATGGAGCTTGCAAAGGTTGCTCCAGGGGAACTTGTTTCCTGGGACGAACTTTGTTGTTTGATTCTGATGTTCCTGAGGTCAGCCACGAAACCTGGCTTTGAAATGTGAACGTCTCTCATGTTAACGTCGTTGGTCAACTTGTCTACAACCTCTGTCATTCGTGGCCGAAGCTTGGCTGTTTCTTGCACGCAAAGTAGCCCCACCTTCAGGAATTTCATGCCCTCTTCCTCTGGAAAATTCATGTTTAGCACAGGATCCACCAATTTTAATAAATCGTTAGCTTGGTACGCTGTCCACGCCTGCAATATGGTATACACATGTTCAAACACTAACACATTTCTTTGCTTTGACCAAATTATGTATAACAAACAAAAAACCAATTCACATTTTGCTGCTAACAAAACTCCACTGCAAAGTCGATCAATAACTTTTCGTTAAGAAAAAAAAAACACCTTTTTCACACGTTTCAATTACACAAAGTGAGGCTGAATTTACATGCTATTATGAGTTTTGACTTCAATTTCATACCTTCTCCACGATGAAACGTTCCATGTCTTGATAGGCATCCACTACTGCTAGGCCACTCACAATTTGTAAGAGTAACACTCCGAAGCTATAAACATCTGATTTTCGTGAAACCTGTCCAGAATTGGCATACTCCGGAGCTAAATAACCCCTTTGAATTAACAAAACAAAAACCCCATTAGTCAAGGAATAAAAAGGATTCAAATTATTTAAACAAGGTACTATTTTTTATTTTTTTGTTTGTTAATGTGATAACTCACAATGTCCCTGCAACCCGAGTGCTGACGTGAGATGCTTCATCTCTCAGCAATTTTGCCAAACCAAAATCTGAAACCTTTGGTGTGAAATTCCGATCAAGAAGGATATTTTTGGCCTTGATGTCTCTATGTACGATATGAGGCTTAAGCTCCTCATGGAGAAAAACAAGGGCACGAGCCACACCTATGGAAATTTCCCTCCTTGTTTCCCACATGAATCTCGTTCTTCTCTCCTCCGAACCTATCAATCAAAAGCCACAAAAGGATAATCATTAATTTCAGTCCCACCCCAATAGAAATTCAGAAACATAGAATAAAAATTATCCCAAAATTAATTACCTAAGAAAGTGTTGTAGAGGCTGTTGTTCTCCATATACTCGTAGACTAGATATCTATGAACACCTTCCACACAACACCCTCGTAGGCTTACAAGATTTTGGTGCCTGATATTCGCTAGTGTAGCCAATTCTACCACAAATTCTCTCTCTCCTCGCATGGATTCTACCTCAACAGAGAGCACTTTCACCGCCACAAAAGAACCATCCACGAGCCTCCCCTTTACAAATCAACTCAACCCCAATCAATATGAAATTGCATTGTATGTCAATGCCAATTAAGCAATACACATCTATTTAGATACAACCTTAGAAGAACTTCTGAGAATTCTCTTCCTGAAAATAACTCTTTATTTTTTGTACATAAGTTCTCAGAAACACTTCTAAATCTGTATCCAACTGAACTCTTATAAAATGAATGAGAAATTGAGAATGTATAACCTTATAGACAGAGCCAAAGCCACCTTCTCCAATTTTTTCCGAGGAATGAAAATTACGAGTGGCTAATTTCAATTGGTTGTAAGTGAACAAACCAAAGCTGCCATCGTTGTTCTCTCCATCAGGGTACTCTGTAGTTGAAGTCAAGAGAACAAATTAAGATAATTAATAAAAACCAAAGTAGATGGGAGTGAAGGGTGTTCAATTAATGTGTGTAGTTGTGTACCGTAGTTGTTGTTTTGTTCGTAGGTGGATGAAGAGAAACAAGAGAAAAGAGAACAAGGAATCTTCATGTCTGAGGATAAGTGTAACACTTTGGGATCTTAAGGTTTCGGGGTATATATATGAAGGTTTTGGAGAGCGTGTGGAGAAAATGGGAAGGACCATGTTTGAGTAAACAGAGAATACACGGTAAGGCTAGGTATGCATTCATTGTGCATGTTGACACTTTCTTTCTCTGTTTCCACATTTTGGATTTTTTTTTTCTGACAGGCCCCAGTGACGACTCATTCTCATTCCTGTTGGAACTTTCTGATGCTAACATGTGAGGGATAAACATAAACAACTGATTATAATATGAACAAGGGAATGAAAATAGAGCAATTTGTTGTCATCATGGATGAATGAAGTGAAGTAACTTTGATTTTCAATCCACTTCCATTTGTAAATGACCCAAAAAGAACACTTACGTACATAGTAAATAAATTATGTTGTAAATCAGCTAGATTAAAAAATAAATTAAAAGAATGTTTAGATTATAAGTGATGAATACGTGATCAATTTAGATAGATTTTAAAAAAAATGTATAATCGAGCAGGACAAATTTAAAATTGTAAATAAGTATGTATACTTGAATTAAAAAAAAAATCAGCTTAAACATTTAATAGGAGAGAAATTAAGAAATGTAAGTGTCAATTTTCAAGGGATAATTAAATAAAGATTAAGTCATTTTCAACATAATAACTCTAATTTAATGAATAGGAGTAGAGCAGTTGAGATTTTAGAAAGAATAATATATTTTTTTATTAAAACAATAGAGTATAGAAATTAAAAAGTTAAGATTTGAGACAATTTTTAAAATTATTATTATTTACTGAAAAAATGTTATTAATGTGAGAAGTTTAAATTTAAAAAGGTATTAAAATATTATGAATTCACAAGTCTTAAAGCTTAAAAAGGAGAAATAATACAATAAAAAGTAAGGAGTTGCTATTATACCCTTCTAAATTAAGATATTTTAGTACAATCAATTTTTAAAATCAATAAAAATGACTTAAAGTATTTTTTTTCCTTTTTAATTTCCTTTTTTCCCCTCTACACTAAATGATATATTATTAACAAATAAATAATTTAATCCCAAGCGTGTGGTTCAGCGGTAGGGGTTGATTCACGCTTAAGCAAGGTCAGGGGTTCAAATCCTGCTTTGTATGTGCAGCCGCGTTAAATCTTGGGACCAGTTATCCTACTTTTTGAGGTGCCTCGAACCTAGCGAGGAGATTAGGCCCTGGATACTCCAGGGACGAACCAAAAAAACAAATAAATAATTAACTTACTCTTTTTTCTCACAAAATACTAGTCCAAATATTTTAAATCATTTTATAAAAATCAAAATAACTTTGAAAAAAATACAATAAATTTTTATTGTTGAAGTAGAGAAAGATTTTATGAATTTTTTATTCAATTCTTGTTTTTAAATGGACCTAAAAATAGTAACATAATTTTTCTTTTTTTTTTATAACATTATAAATAATTTTGAATAATATTTTTGCAACTGTATATTTCTGTTTAAAATGATTAAAATGCTCTTGACCTTTCTTATAAGTCAGAGTTAAGTTTTAAGTTAAACAATTGTCTTTAATCATTAATAATATTATTTTAAGTTTTAAATATGAAATATATTTCATAAATAATATTTTGAGAATTTTCTAAAACAGTGCAAGTCTAGACTGTGTTTTCTTATGCTAAAGTTATTGAACTCTTTTAAAATGTTTAAATTTTATTCATTAGAAATGCTTTAAAAACGTTTGACATATTTTGATAATTTTATAGGTGGAGTGGTTGAATACCTGCGCGAGATGCGGAGATGGTATTCCGTTATCCACGTTCATACCTTCGCAGGGCGAGCTCACAGTCACAATAGCTTAATCATTCCTTCTTCTTCAATGGGAGGACACTTCAGTGAGCTTTATTAATAAGGAATTAGAAATCTAGATAGATGAAAGAAAAAATTCTCAAAAACTATTTTTAATATTTTAAGTGCAAAATAAAACTTCTGTATTTTTTTTTAACTATATTTTAGCTAAAAACAAGATTCGTGTTAGTTTGAAATTATTTTGGTAATTTACAAGGCTATTGTCCAAATATAATTCTTTAGTGATATCGACATGTTATCAAAACTAGAGATTAGTGATATCGAGATGTCATAAAGTCAAATGGAGAAAGAAAAACAATAAGAAGAATGGAAGAAAAAAAGAAGGAAAAGAAAAAAGCACAAAACTTAAAAATATATGTTATTGTTTTTCATTTTGTTCTCAAAATATTTCTTGTTAGTTACATTTTTCTCTTTAAAGGATTTATTTTAATTCCTGTTGAAATGAACGTAAAACGAAAATTTATATTAAAAAATAGTTATTTTATTCTCTAAAAGTCAATAAAAACTTTATTTTGGTTCCTTGTGACGTGGATGTTTGTCTAAAAAAGAAAGAAAATTTTCTCTCCTTTTCTTTTTTTAAAATCTTTCCTATATATTTTTGGCAAAATTTGATAAATCATCCTGTTTGTGGAGGATTTTATTTGTAGGTTCGTTTTATTCGAACTAGCACATTTCAATTTAGGTGTGTTTGTGACATGACAGATTCGAAGACTTTTAGTGATAAAATCGTACAAGCAACAAATAGAGTTAGTTGATTAGGGTATTGTTTTAGCATAACAGAATATCGATGCTAATCATACAATCAATCTCATGCACGTAAGTGTTAACGTGAATCGAACAAATGACATGTATATTGACTGTAGAAATCATATCCTTCATTAGATGATAACAGAATTACAATTCGTAAGGATAACGAAACAGATTCAGAAGACTACGCTACACTAGACTATGCTACGCTACGCTATGCTATGCTACACTAAAAAGGAAAAAGAAAGGTGGTCGAGAAATCGTACCCAGCTGTCTCGTATACACGTGAGCCTTATGCACAGGCGAGGAGTGCTTGTGAGGTGTTGTGGGTGTGTGATTTCTGACCCTTTGCTACGAGCATGGCTCGTCAATTTATAGAAATTTGGGAAAGATAATTGTATCTGACATGCTCCAAAAATGCGTAACCGCTCTAAACTTCCACATCGTGGCTCGTTCTTGGGCACGTCTTTTGATAACTCCTGGAACTATTCATAACTTCCCCAAACCGTTCTGCAGTCTTGACATTTATCCCATGATTTACTTCAACTGTTCTTAATCGTGTCTCTTTTAAGTTCTTCATTCTGAGAGATTGTAAAGTATGTTCGTGTATGTCCGGATCCATAGGATTTCGAGTGACCTACGAAAAGTATACTCGAGTATTTCCTGATTTTTCTTGTATTTTGAGAGGTTGCGAGGCTGTGAGCCTTTTTCATGAGCAGCAACTTTCACGGTTTAAGGATTTCGAGAGTTTCACGAAAAACGTCTTCGCGTATCTCTTAATTCTCTTCTTGATTCTCCTCAGGCTTCGTATGTCTCCTCTTCAGAAACTTCTTTTCCATTTTCCGATCACCTAAGATTTTGAGCACCCCTGTATTTCGAGTATCTCCGAATACATTTCTTGGTACTAACACATCCTTACAAGTTTTATAGTGAAATTGGGTAAAATTCTTCTTCCGGTGAAACTCGATATAATCTTCCTCACAATTTTTTTTGAGGGAGAGTGACTTTCTTTATATGTCAAGTGATTCTTTATTAATTTTAGAGTTTTTTTATTTATTGACTTTATATCTCAACTACCACATTTTTAATTTTAAACAATATTTTAAAGATTTCAAATTGAAAACTCAAATTATTTTTTCAATAATTTCTCTCTCGATTATTTTTCTCAAACTTTATCATCAGTTCTTATTATCACAACTGCTCGTCACAATCATGTTTTTACTCTATAATATTTTTTGTCTCTATTTTGCAAGTAGATGGACTTGTATTATCGTTAGCTATTGCAAACAAAATACGTTGTTTGACTTTCGTAATGTTAGTCAGACTTTTGTAATGACTCGATCGCTATGGTCACTACACTTCATGGAACTAATAACTAGCAGTATAAATGATAAAATAACTAAGGTTAACATTTAATAGTTTCCGGAAATAACAATTTATATATACATACATGTACACATCTATGATAAACATTATATATATATAAGAGGGATCCACTTACTCCAAGAATAAGTTTATTTAGATTTACTTCATTCAATAACTCATGTTTTACTTTAAATTTCAAAGATCCAACTATTGAATTAAAAGTTCTTAATGCATAGGCCAAGTTTGGAAATTTTTTTAAAAAAATTGAAAACTATTTGATATTCCATTATATTAATTCAAATTGATGAATAATCATAAAAATATTTTATATGTTGATTTGAATTATAATAAAACAGACTATCAAATAGTTTTCAATTTTTTTAAAACTTTGTAGATTTAACTTATACATTAAAAACTTTTAATTTAACTGTTGGATTGTTAAAAGTTTATATAAAACATGAGTTATTGAACAAAATAAGTCTACCATAGACTTACTCTAGAGTAAACGGATCTCTCCTCATATATGTGTGTGTGTGTGTGTGTGTATTTATGTATGTACGTATGAACTATACAACAATCCAAACGCTATAAAAGATTAACTCTAGATTGGCGATCAAGCAACATCTATACAAAACTCTTCAAAAAGTAGCATTGAGCTACACGTCATCAACATGGCTCCACAAGACATCATCAGCCTCTAGGTAACCCTGCCCTACTCCCATGAAAAACATGATTATTGCAATCCAATCACTAGAAAAAAAAATGTAAAGGTAAACTAGATTTCAAAAAATAAAGGATTAAACATATAACAAATATAGAAGAATACAACTATATTATGAACATGTAAAGCAACTAGTATACACCTCATGGTCTACATCATACAACATCAACATATCCATATGTTTGTGTGTACACACACACACACATATATCACAACCTTGCCAAACCATCATAAAATCAACGAGCATATGAACAGTATCAATCACATCACATCATATGCATACACCTCAACTAATATGTTATCACACATTCATTTATGAAGATTTCCTATAACACCTAAGAATTTTAAGTGACTTAATTATACTAAACTAACCTAATCATGTTCACGTCTTATGCGCTCGCTAGATCGACAACT